AAGCCACTTCCTGGCTATCGCTCTTCTCCCCACTCAGGCCGGGAGAGAAAAAGAAGCCACTTCCTGGCTATCGCTCTTCTCCCCACTCAGGCCGGAAGATGATCCATGGGCTTTGGCCTTATCAGGCACCTCTCGAAAGCCTCGTTCTAAGCAGCTGCCTGCCGACCGATAGTCTGAGTAAGTGCCAGAGACGTGTCTGTCCGTCCATCCGTCATGTCCACACAGACACTCAAAACTCTGTCCGCACAATGCTCGGCTACACATATTCAAAGTTCCCTTGGCGTAGTAGGCCAAGCTTTGGACTCGTCCGTCTGTTCATGCGTCATGTCCACGCAGACACTCGAAGTCTGTCTGCATGATGCTCGGCTGCACGTATTCGAAGCGCCCTCGGGGTTGGTCAAGCTTCGCGCCACCACCCTTGCAGGGATTTGAAACCGTGTCTTCGCCGCAAATGACAGGTCAAGAAGCTTCTTTGGCCCATCGATCGAGTGGTCTACCTCCCTCCTGCTTGCCTCTCTTCTGATGGCCTGGAACTTCACCAGTCATTCATTCATGGTGAAGAAAGGGCTTCAAATCTTGACCAACGTCAAGGGGAAAAAACAGCACAGCATCAGTCCTGTGAAGTGCCAGCATCAGTCCCTCACCGGCCACTCGTGGCGAAGACACAGGTTCAAATCCGGTGAGGGATATCATATCATAAATCACTGACCCCTTCAGGCTGGTCAAATCCGGTGAGGGATATCATATCATAAATCACTGACCCCTTCAGGCTAGTTCTTTTCCTAGTGGTCGTCAGTCACCGCCACATGGTTTCGTTCTTCCCCCCTGGTCCATGTTTTCTTCTTCGTCTTCTAGGCGGCTGGGGAAAAACAGAAACAGCATCAGTCCTGCTTGACGCCTAGAGAGTTTCTTACGTAGCTCAGCCGTGGTCAGCGGGACACATCCGCACACTCGTCTACCTAGCAACAGAACGATTCCACAAAGAGCAGTGCGCAGAGCGAAAGAGGAATGTTAAGGGGTGAGACTACCGTCTTCACCCGAACCGAATAGAACGCCCGGTAATCATCATCGCATCTGGGCTGAAAGTTGTGCCAAATACAGCAGCGATAATGACAGGGCGTTCTATTCGGGTGAAGACGGTTGCTCTCTGATCGTGGCCAAGGGGCGGCAGGAAGGGCACGGACGGTCCGGAGGGGCAAACAGGGCAAAGCACAGACGGAGCCGCACCGACACAGCAGCGGTCGCAATGACACAGGCCTGACAAATGTGACATGACTTCAAGGACCAGTAAGCAGGCCAACCATCTGCCATCGATGTATATTTACCCAAAGCCTCCGAAATTTTAGGAGAGGCTCAATCGGAATCTCGACTTGGCTGCTGGGCCGTGTACTGGAAGCAGGCCACACCGCCGCGAGCGTTCGCGGTGCGATGTTCGATGGACCCCCAAGCTCAGAATCTACGTGGACAGATGGACCCAAGCAAGCACATAACCGAGACATTGCCACGATGGACCCAAGCAAGCACATAACCGAGACATTGCCACGATGGCCAGAGACAGGACACCACGGCATTGCCACGATGACCAGAGACATGACACCAACACTTTCCAGGGACATAACCGAGTTGTTGTTGTTGTTGTTCTTGTTCTTGTTCTTGTTCTTGTTCTTGTTGTTGGTGTTAGTTAACGGTGTTGGTGTTGGTGTTGATGTTGGTGTTGGTGTTGTCATTGTTAGTCAACGGTGATTTATCATCATCATCATCATGGATGATGACGATGATGATGATGATGATAATGTCCTACTCGTCAAGATCTGTGACGTATGTGCAATTCCAACTTGGATCCAACCTTTAGCGAAAGCCTTTAGAGCATATACCCACATCACATCAGATGAGATTTTTTTTGAGTGGCATGCATGCAATTCCAACTTGGATCCAACCCCATCGAATGAGATTAAACCGGCACCGCTGCCACTTCGTGGCTTTTTGCACATGTAAGAGTGACACATACAAAACCCAAGCCGTCGAAATTCAGCTTGCTTCAGCTTCCCCCTGAGATACAAACTTGGCTTAGTCGGTATTTCCTCCTGGCCGTGAAACCCAAGCCCAAGCCAAGTTTGATTCTCTCGGATGGGTGGACTTCTGTTTGACTGAAGTGTCGTGTTTGACTGAATTTCCTATTTTTTTTGGCTGCTGTGACGTGAGCATGCCCCCCCTCCAGACTCGGAGAACAGTCGGACCCATGGGTCTAACCCATACCCTTCTATTCTGACGAGTCCATTGCTCACCTCATACAACCATATAGGGGTTCGATTCCGTTCGAATCATGGTTGATTTCCACCTACTCTGTCATACAACCATGGTTGATTTCCACTGCTGCCACTTACTTGGAACGGATCAATTAATTATTAACCAGACCCTCGATGGCGAAAGCAGAATAGGAAGAAGAAGAAAAAAAAAAAAAAAAAAAAAAAAA